AAATGAGAGAAAGTCATGATTAAAGACAGAGATTTGGAAATTACTGGCACAAATAAAGTGAAAGGATGGATAATCTAAGAATACTAGAGATAGAAGATAAGAACATTTGGAGACAGAACTTTTAAAACAGCATGCAAAGAGGTAAATTAGTGGCTTCCAGAAAGGAGAAAAGGTGTGCTAAATAATCACTTGAGTCCCTTAAATATCATCTGGCTCAATTGCAAAACTCTCATGCATACGAAAGCATAGGACACTGCAGTATTTAAGTATGGTTATTATCTGAAAGTAATCATCTGAAAGACAGTCCTAGAACACAGAAAGCCACCAAAGTATACATAATATGCTTAACTAACACTTTGACATAAAGGTGATGCAAACTGGATCAAGGTGAGACAAATGATATACTTCACACGTGCCATGGAGTATCCTACATACTAAAACATGTCACCATATTGCACAAACCATTCACCCAAAACTGAATCAAAGGTTGAAGTCAAAAAAATAAAGCAAAAAAAATAAAACCCCTAAGAACAAATCAAATGCCAAGAGAAACTGTGACAATAAAGATGTGTTTGGGAAATGCTCCATTTAGGACATTGTGATGCCCTAGGCTGAGTGCCATGGTGTCATAGCTCACAGTAACCTCAAAAACCTGGTTTCAAACAATCTGCTTGCCTCGGTCTTCCAAGTAGCTGGGATTACAGGCGCCTGCTACAAAACCTTGCTAGTTTTTCTATTTTAGTAAAGATGGGGTCTTGCTCTTGCACAGACTGGTCTGGAACTCCTGAACTCAAGGCAATCCATCTGTCTTGGCCTCCCAGTGTGCTAGGATCACAGGCATGAGCCACTTTGCTTGGCTGCCAAAATTATTAAATGAGAAAACAATGCTAACAAAATGGTTTTTGTGTACAAAAAGTAACATGTATACATACAATTGTACATCTCATGTATATACAAAAAATTTCTAGACCTGTACACGAAATTTGAGTAGTACCTTGAAAAAGAAGAGTGGGATTGAAGGAGACAGGAAACTATAACTTTCTACCCTTCTATAGGGAAGAAAAATTTAAAAAGGATTTGTTATGATTGGTCAAACATTAAAAAAACTCAACAGATTAGTAAGTTGTGAAAGTGAATGAGAAAATGAAGACACAATTGCATTTACAATACTATAATATACTTAAAAATGTTAAATGAGTATGTTCCAGGGAATGATGGGCAAAGGAGCAGCCCAGGGCTGCTGGGAACCTGAGTAGTGCTTCTTAAAACTTATATGAAGGACCAGTTTTAAGCCCTAAATTATACTGTCAGATATGCTTTGGTAAAATACAGTTTTTAAAAATTACTAAAAAAATGATTACATACTTTTAATGTCAGTGTAATATAAAACTGCTGTAGAAGTTTCTAGACACTCTGAATTTCCACACAGCTGCCCAGAGACATGCTGAATAATTTTCTCAATGTCAATCTGGCCTAAAATCTTGAATTTGTGTAAAGAGGATATGATTCTTGAGTTACTTTTTTTTCACTACTGAACAATGAAGATACTCTCTCTATATATATGTATAAAATAATTGAAGATAAAAGGTTGGATAGAGACTGGTATCATTAACTTGTTTTAATTTTAAAATGTACAACTTTTTTTTGGTCACAATGTCTCATTAAATTATTCCTTTGAATGCAACTTTAGCATTCAAGAATCTAAACTCCTACCAATTTGAGCATTTCACTTTATCTTGCCATTTACCTTAGAAGATAACTTAATATATAGACACTTAAAATTGTATATGAAAATACGCTTGTGTCACTTAATGACAAAAATATGCTGAGAAATGGGTCATCAGGCAACTTTGTTGTTGTGTACTTAGATGGTACAGACTATTACTATTCACTATTGTGTACTTAGATGGTACAGACTATTATCTATATTGATAAGTATTTGTGTATATCTAAGCATAAAAACAATACAGTAAAAAATAAGGTATTATAATGTTACGGGGCTACGATCATACATATAGTACACAGTTGACTAAAACTTTGCTATGCCTGTGTGACTATTTACTTATCCCATACTTTTGTGAACTCCTATACCTTTGCCTCCAAACTTCTCCCAACTAAGTAGTTTCAGTGGTTGTTAACAGTGAATGTAGGAAAAACTTCCATGTATTATTCACTTCATTACTAAAGGGAATAAAAGGGTAGATGTTTATATGCCCTCCTATAAAGATTGACATAATTTACTATTTACAATTTGACACAATTTACTACAGCCTATTAGATAAGTCTAATAATAATGATAGATTCTAATAATGTGATTTAAGGTCTCTGGAACCAAATTTCCAGAATTCAAATCCACACTCAAATTATATTAAAGTTACTAAACTTCTCAATACTATGTTTCTCATTTGTAAACATGAGGATAACTACACCTATATCCCAAAGGATTATACGGCTTTAGTGTGCATATAAAGTGACTTAGCACACCGCCTGGCACATATTTAGTACCATGAATGTCATAATTATTTTATTACACAGTATGTGTCAAATCCTCTGTAGAATTGAATAAACATTAAAGTCATTAATATGTCACATCCATCCCTACAATGAATGAACTGCTATTCATTCACTAAAAGGTTATTCAACTCTCTATTATGAAAATATATCTATTTATTCCTCATCTGTAAAATGCCAGGGAAAAAAAGAAAAAGAAAAAGAAAATGTATCTATTTATAACATCCTGTTGGATTGGGAGGAAAAGGAAAAAATTAGAAAATCAAGTATAGCCTAATTTTATGTTTAGAGAAGGTTAAGTTATGCAAAGTTGCATACCAGTGGCAATTGCTAAAACTGATTCAGAGTAATTTATCATCCCTCCAGGCATGCCTCTGAAAAAAAGATCTAAAATAAACTTTTGATTTTAAAATGGTAAGATGAAATTAATCAAAGGCTACAAATTACTTTTTTTTTTCAAAAATTTAGAACTGTACATACTTATTATTTCTATTCCACCCCTAAAAGCTGGTTGTTTCTTAAAAATGGACTACATTAATTTCTAACATTATAGCTGATATATTACTCTAAACCTACCCACTGCCATACACCACCATTACTTTTAAGCAAGCTCTTAACGTGCTCACAACCGTACATATCAACAAAGACAATAAATCAGCTTAAACAGTCACCCAGGCTTAAAAAGCAAATATTGGGTAGAGTATGCAGATGTAAACACAAAAGATTCAGCATTTTTAGAATACTGGATATGAGGTGTTTGTGACATTGAGAGTACTCAGATGATAACCTGTGGTACCCTTTAAAACTGTTTTAAAGTTCTACAATAAAATCAATGCTATTAATTTCATGTTTATTTTATACAGTATTTTTGTGATATTTTATCAGTTTTTAAATGATCAATTCATAATCACCATTTAAAGACAAATATTCCTCTCAACTAAAGTTTCTGCTTCCTATGCTTCAGCTTAACTTTGGTCTATGATAGACATCTCTTTTCATAAGATCCCAACTATACAATTACATATTATACACAAAATATTTTCAAGTTTGCTTTCAAAGGATACCTATGAAGATTAGATCAAGTTTCAAGTTTACAGAAAACCGTAACATAATAATTTACCACTATAAATAATGTCTTAATAGCTGTTTATTCCACTCTATTTATAGCAACACTAACAAAATTCATAATGCACATCCCCCCACCACCTGTACTTTGCCTATACTAACATTTTGACACTTACATAAGAACATCTCCATTAGGCAACCAAGTTTTACAACTACTGTTCCTACCAATCAGATGGGGATGCACCAAGATCCCAATTCTCATGAATTTTAACATATTAAGAGAGTATATATTTTTACCTAAGACTGAAGGGCTGTACCTTACTTTATAAAAAACAAAGATAGCCACAGCAATTTAATTCCATATATATACTACCTATTCAATTTATTACAAATTGTAATAAACATAATCATCAAACTAGTGCTCCAAACTTATGCTGTTCATGTGGAAGACACTACAAAAGAAGACACAATAGAGACTGCCTTGCAAATACAAATTCCTTCTATAGAGATGGAGAAATAAAAGGACAAATCTAGTTGTCTAAAAGACAATTCACTGTACACATTTTATTTACAGTTTTGTACACTGTCTTAAAATGAATGGGACCGCTTTTCTACTTGAGCCATTTTTAACCAAAGCAAAATAACCTAAGTAATACAAAGTGTTAAAATACAGCATAAAGATACAAAAACAGACATACTAATTCTAGTTAGGAATGTAATTATGATGTTACATTTTTTTAATAATCCACAATTATGTTTAGGAAATCACACAAACATAGATCACTGATTTG